CAATAGTGAGTTGGAATGATTATTAAAATCTATATGATTTGTAAATTAGGAAAAAGAGATATTCACAAAAAGAATTTTGTCAATAATAATTATGAAAAGTAAAAGTTCGAATTTTACATCTTACACTCTGTTATAGAAAAATTACTATTTTTTTTTAAAAGAAGCAGAAGTGCTGAAATGATTGCTCATCCTGAAGTTGACTATTGTATAATCTAAAATTGATTGTTGAAAAGATTCCCATTGAAAATAGGAATTTCATTTTTCAAGGACATACGCGATTGGTCGAACTTTACCGATCGTGAAAGATTGTTGTCGAATATGATCGATTACATTTAATCACGTGGAAGTAAATAGGAAATCTTCTTAACGTAAAACTTCAATATAAAATATTTGTAAACTAAATATTTTTTGACAGATCAAGTTAATTTAATTGTACTTAAAATTCAAAATTTAAAAATTTAATTCTAAGAATGACAAAAAATATGTTAGATAGTAAATACTTAATTTTTAGTTTAATTTGTTATTTAAATTATACTTTATTTACATTTAATTTCTATTTTTACTGTAATTTTAACTTGAATGTAAATTAAATACACATGTAATTTGTAAATCTGAAATAGTATATTTAAACTTTATTGAATAAAAAAAATATGTTTCCTGCATAATATTTAGAAGTGCAAGTGGAACATCCAATACTGACTGTGGCAAAGTTTACTAGTATCAAGTGTGACTTCATCTTTTTTTTCCTATTGCTGCGCATGGCATTCCAACTTTTATATAAGTATTCTCAAAAAACTAAAGTAATTTTATTTTCTCACAAGATGAATTTTTACCATAGTTTTTGTAAGTTTTATAATTCTTTTTTACTTATTAATATATTTATAAAAATCACTTTCAACGATTCACTAACTTCAGTTTCCTATTTTTATATTGAAATTTGCTACTGTTTTAAAATATAAATCTCTAGTTATTATATTATTTTTTCCGATATTGAGGGAGCTCACTCAGTATAGTACACTGCAAGCCCGATCAGCGGTCACCCGATCAGTGGTCGCTTGTTTACGTCGTTTGTAGATGGGGCGGGCGAGGGGCAAAGAGGGAGTCGAAAAGTTGTGGCAGTAGCGTATACATTAAAGACGCTCTGGCCCCTTAAAAAAAATTCAGTAGTCAAGTAATGGTACCCCATCATAAAACAGTTCGTACGGTCCTATATGTTTACGCCCGATCAGCGGTCGAGCACCCCCGGAGCTGACCGCTGATCGGGCTTGCAGTGTATTTAAATAGTAATATTTACAAAAATACCGTTATATCCTCGTTTGCTATTCGATTTTTGTAAAATTCAGTATTATAATATTTAATTTTCCAAACTAAAGTTTCTCCGTGTAGAAAATGGGAAGTGAGAGTAGGAAGTGGAAAGTAAAAAGTGGGAAGTAAAAGTGGGAGTGGAATGTAGGAAGTAGAAAGTAGAAGTGAAAGGTGGGAAGTGAGAGTGGGAAGTAGGAGTGGAAGGTGGGAAATGAAAGTGGAAAGTGAGAGTGGGAACTGGAAAAGTTACAGAATCGACCCCCTGCAGGGCCCTGCACTGGATCCTGTATGTATGGGATCCTTGTTTCAATATCCTGTAACGGATCTTGTCACGATCCTATGTAGGATTCTGTAAAGAATCCCCGAAGAACCCTTAAGGGTTCCTGTTGAGGAACCTTAAAGCATCTCTTTAGGATCCAATAAAGGATTCTTCACTTGGGGGAAAGATTTGTGTTGTCATACTGTGACGTCATAATGGTTCAAATGCTCTTAACTAATGCTCTCTTAACAACGACATGTTTGTCGTATTTTTTTTTAGAATTTTATCAGTTTATTGGAAATAAAAAGGGACAAATTTTAGATACTTTTTTCAAGTTAAAAGTTATCTACACTAAAACAAAATTTGACAGAATGTGCTTTTTACTCAGGCAACTTTTGCCTAAGAACAAAAGCAATACATGCAAAGCAATTGTTTCTTTAAAAAAAGCAATTTTTGCCTTTTTTAAAGGCGAAAATTTCAACTAAGGCAATTTTTACCTTTTTTAAATGCAAAAATTGCTTTTTTCTAAAGAAACAATTGCTTTACGTATATTGCTATTGTTCTTAAGCAAAAATTGCCTAAGTAAAAAGAACATTCTGTCAAATTTTTTTTTCAGTGTAATGGTCATCAGAAAAGTTGGGGTATATAACTTTAAGATTCTCTGTTGAATTTAATCGATAATTATAAGTATAAAAATTGGACAAGTTGGAGATGCACTGGCAATGATATGGCGGGTTCACCCGCCATGTTGGGTATATCGATATTAAAATCATTTAGTACAAAAAGAAAAAAGAAATTTTTTAAAAAATTTTCTTAAATACATTTTTTGTAGTTAGTCTGTAAAAATATACTAGATACCTATTTTTAGCTAATTAGGTAAAATAATGTAAAAGTTGTAAGAAAAAAATGTGTTTAAGAATTTTTTTAGTTTTTCCTCGACCACGCAATGGCCATTATTACATAGCAAGTACTCTACATTTTTCCAGTAATGTTATCTTTAAAATAAACCAGTATGCCAAATGTTCGCTCTCCATGTTAAATAGTTTAGAAGTTAAGGAGGGTAATGGTTACTTTTTTGCATTTTTCGACAAAAATCGTACAAATTCCTTGACAAAGCTATGGCCATCACCTCCAATCACATTCGTTATATTTTTCCTGTAATCTACATGAGAAAATAAATATCTGTACGAAATTTGAGCTCTCTAGGTCAAATACTTTAGCAGCTAGGGGGACACAAAATTGACTAAGGACGCAAGAATCTCACCAATAGGGTTCCGTTGGTATAAAATTTTACAAAAAAAAAACACCTACGGTGCACAGTGGAGCAAAAACTTTATTTTTTTGGACAAAAATGTCACCACGTCAATTTTGAATGAAAATAGATGAAACTTGGTACACTAACTTATCAAATACTAAAGAATTTAAATTTATTGCCCCTTTTTAAAAATATAAAGTGATCGCTTAAGAGCCATTGACTAAATATGGGGAATTTTGTTAGAAAATCATAAAACTGTACTTTGGATCTATAAAACTTTTTTCAAATAAACAAAAAACCTCTTTTGATGAAACTGTATAGTGCTTATGTGTTTTTAAATACAATTCCAGAATTTATTATTCAAAATGGTGAATCCAATATGACGGGATAAAATACACATCCACACAAAAATAAAAAAGGTAGGAGGTGGAAGATTAGAGTGCACTACCCTCATGTATTTTGGGTCGCTGAACACGAATCCGGTGTCCGTTTTGATCCAGCACATGTACATTTTTTCCTAACCACAAAAAATATGTCCAATTTTTTGTGGTATATGAATTTTTAAAAAAATTTGTAGATTTTGATGAAACTTGGTAGCTAGGGGTTTTTGAGGTCGCTGATTACGAATTTGAAGTCATATTTTCAAAATTCAAAATGGCGGATCCATAATAACGAATACCAATTTTTAAAATGATGGTAAAGTTTGGTTGTGAGCACTCAAATTAATTCGGCTCTGGACACCACTATTATTCTTGACAAATCGTGAAATATCGTCGTCGATATGATCGTAAGTAATTTCTTACAATATTTAATAATGTTTTATGAATTCTAAGAGTTTCGTGGTCCAGCACGGAAATTAATATAACAAGACTTTGATTTTTATGCGTCGTTCGTAGCTAGTAACTGTGCTGCTGAGGTTCAGTGTGAGAAATCTTATATATCTTTACATGGGGAGGAGGGGAGGTCAAAATTAGAAAAAATCATCTTTACGTAGTTAATGAATGGTTACTTGGTTAATTTTTTTGCATTTTTAGTAGATTTTTCAAGAGTGCTCAAAACCGAACCAAAATTTTCTTTGTTATAAAAATGACCACTTTATTAAATTTTTAATAAAAATTTTCTACTTGACAGAATCAGTTCAGTTTCTTCACCAGTAGTTAGCTAAGGTCCCTAGCTTTAAATACATATTATGCATATGTTAGTTTAATATCTACTTGGACGCAAGTTATAAGTCAAAAACGAAACTATGCCCACAACCGAACCTAGTCCCCTACCAAATCAGCTCTAATTTAGAACCTTTTTTATATAGTGAACATTATAGTTTCTCTTTCTTCGTAGATTCTTTAAAATTCGTACAAAAACTAGTACCAGATGATGTTTAATAGAAATGAATGAATGTACTCTTTCTGCGCTGAGCAGATCTTATGGTTGTAAAATTTCGACTTTGTTTGTTATCACGAGAAATTGAGGTTATGTTACTTAAATTTATAAATTTTTAACAGATTCTTTTCACCTAAAGAGGATATCAATGATCATATCGAAACGTCGTGAGTGACGATTTATTATTTTAAATAAATATGATTATTCAGTAATTGAGCCTCCGGAAAGTATAACCACACATAAAATTCTGACGCCCATTGAATTAGCATGGCGGTCAGAATTTTATGTGTGGTTATACTTTCCGGAGGCTCAATTCCTGAAAATTATTTTTCATTAAAGTTTTGATTAGCTATTTATCTAGTGTTTGGTTTAATTATTCACTGCCATCATCTCTCGAGTTTTGTGTATTGTCAACCGACTTTCCTGAGTTCTCGTCGACTGGTAAGTCTAACAAATTTTCACGCACGTTGGTTCATCATCAGCTTGCAACTGTTCAAACATTAGAAGGACTTCTCATCGTTGATGAAAATTCTCTCTTGCCCTTGTGAGCTTCATTCGCGAGTCAATACCCACGTTCTAAAGATTAAATTTAAGCTATTAAATAAATTAATAAAATCTCGAGGAAGTCGACGCATTGCGTATTGCAAAAGTTTCAATGAAATGTGGAAAGTGAACCAGTTTTATGTTAAAGAAACTGCTGGAAATTTTAAAGATTGAATTAATAGTAACATTTAAAAAATCCCTTTAAAATAACTACTTTAACCTATTTATATTTTGTAAAACATATTATGCATATTATACCGGAATAAGAGCTTCTCCATTGTATAAAAATTCAAGCAAGTGACTTAGTTGAGTCTTCCTAACCCCAGAAAAATGTACTACATGATCCAGCGCAGGATTTCGAAGAAGATTAGCTAAGAGGGGACTGGCTGCTGCTAGTACAACGCGATGAGCTTTCACAACAGAACCATCATCACAAGCAAGAGTGACATCCACGTGGCGGTCTCCGGAGTACCATGCCCCGACCTCTTCAGCTAATGTTGCGGGATGCTTCCCGTAGTGAAGTGTCAAAAGACCGTCAGGATACATTGCCTGGAAAATAAATTATCCATTATTAGCCTTTTGTTTCTTTGTTGTTAGTAGACAGTGATAAAAAAGCGTTTTACTAAAATATCCCAGAAAAACTCATTTTTTATACATTACAGCTTACCCAAATAGCACAATATTTGAGCTTAATATTGTTTCATTATTGCCTGGCAATGTTGTGGCAATATTACCAAGCAATGTTCAAACAGGGCTGATTACGAATATGAAATTCATTTTTAAAAATTCAAAATGGCGGATTCAATATGGCAAACTTATTTTTTTAAATTGTTCAAATTCACTTAAAACATGTTACTCGGGGGTTTTTGGGATCGCTGTTTATGAATATCAACTTCATTTTTAAATATTCAAAATGGCGGATCCAATATGGCGGACGAGTTTTACAAAAATTCATCGAATTTACATGAAACTTGTCACTCGGGGGTTTTTGGGGTCGCTGATAACGAATATGAAATTCATTTTCAGAAATTCAAAATGGCGGATTCAATATGGCGGACAAGAAACATCAAATTTCATTCTATTGGCTTAAATCTTGTAACTCGGGGGTTTGTAATCAGCGACTCCAAAAACCCCAGAGTAACAGGTTTCAAGTGAGTTTGATCAAGTTTATAAAATTCGTCCGCCATATTGAATCCGCCATTTCTAATTTTTGGAAATAAAGTTCATATTCGTAATCAGCGACCTCAAAAACCCCCGAGTTACAAGATTTAAGCCAATATAATGAAATTTGAAGTTTCTTGTCCGCCATATTGAATCCGCCATTTTGAATTTTTGAAAATATAGTTCATATTCGAAATCAGCGACACCGAAAACCCCCGAGTAATAAATTTCAAGCGAATTGATTGACTTTTCGGCAATATGAAGAATATTGCCCAAAATTTTTAAATTTTACTTTAGATTTGACGCCATATTGGTCCGCCATCTTGAAATTTTTAATTCTACTTTACTTTTCTTGAAAGTGTATCATTTTTATGCACTGATGGTTTTAAATAGAATTTTATTCTTACACTTTTTCGAGGTGTCAAACTTGAAAAAATGAATTTTTTTTTTGATTTTTGACATTAATACCGCCATATTTAATTTTGGTTTGGACGAAATTTATTTTTGACAACGGAATCGGAAAGAGCACATCCAAAACCTTTAGAAAATGTACCTCTGGTATAAATTGTCAACCGTTTTATTTATAAATACGTAGCTTGAAAATTACCAAAGAATTTTCACGAGTTGGGTTAATAAATATTTTATTAAAGTCTTTAATATTTATTAAAAGAAGTAATTTTTGAAAATAATCATAGATTTTGTTTATTCGAATTTTTAGAACTAGTGGATAATGAATTTATTTTAGTAGAATATAAAGTTTTCTTGTTAATTTTTTGTCTCATTTGATATACCAATAAAAATTATTCATTAAATTTCTATTGAACTCGCAATTTTCGCAGTTACCGACAGAGAATTCTTTTGTTCCCGCTTTGACAGAAGGAGAGTGTGTAGATCAACCGAAGCACAAATGTTCGACTTTCTGCTGCGAAATCGAAGAGGGACGTAATTTCGACCGAGGTTATAAAGAAAAATTAATTTTTTAACAAAAAGTCTGATTTTTGTTTGCTTTATAGTCGTTTTTACAATTTGCATCATTTTATTGCACATACCAATCAATAAATTTTCAAATGTTATTTCATAAAAATAAAAAAAAATTGAACTCATACAGTGACGGATAAACGCGGTGACGATAATCCAAGAGACGGAAAATCGAAGTTCCACTGTAATTATAAATTTTGGTTTGAATTTTTAGTTTATTTTTATGCAAATACGAGTCAAAAAACTAAAAAAGGTAAACTTATTGATCTTTAATCTTTTATGTATTCAAAGATAACTTGAAGTGCGGCATTGGCAATTCTCAAAATAAAATATTGCGGATATACTCAGAACTTCTTACAGGTGAGCTTTGGTTAATATATTGACTTCGTACTTAATTTTAAATCTGTAAATTAATCTCAAACATCAACTGTTTCAGAAACAAAAAAATAATTGTTTTTATTCTATTTATTAGAAAAGAGGAACTGTTTAGCCAATATGAAGTTCCGTTTCAAAGAAGTTAATTCTAATATAGAGAATTCTTATGGATGAAATGCTTTCCACTATTAAGGTGTTATACAACCCACACAAGAAAAAAAAGTATAAATTTTAACCTGATTTAGGGATAAAAATTACCTGCAACAAATTTTCACCTAAGTGAGGGCGCCACTGTCTATGTGAATTGCATTGGTTATAAGTAGAATCTCCCATAAGTTAAGTTCCCATTAGTTAATATTTCCCTATCGTGTACCCCTTCAACCTAAAAAATAAACATGCGCATAGTGGTATCAAAAATTAAGTGAGTTACATTGTATGCAGTTTTGAAAAGTGTAGTTTTGAGAAAAACGCATTTAAAATTTCAGAACGCATTTACTATATGACATTTTTAAAATTTCGATTTAACAATTTTTTCACTTTTACTTTGCTATCCCTCACTATATAACCACAGTTTTATATTTATGCTAATATATTTTGTATTATAATTAAACTGATTTGTACCCCCAAAAATTATCAACAAACTATAATACGTTCAAAATTTAAAATTATCATATTAAAAGAAGTTAACATTTGAATTTATCACACTTGTGACATTTTGACAAAAATTTAAAGAATTTACCCTAAAATATTCTCTTAGGGGTTTTTGAGTTTGTTAAATAGGTACTGATTCAAGGATTTGTAATGTGACTGAATAAAAATATATAGTCAAATGTAAAAAATTGAAGATACAAAATGGACGTCGATCAGGAATTGGAAGGATTGTTAAATGGATTCAATAACGAGTATTAAGACAATTTAAGATTATTATTAATAGTTAAGAATATATTCCTTTAAATGAAGAAATTAAATAGTTAATTTCCCAATGGTGCTTATCAGTCATGACATATACTTTGATAGTTTATATAGTATCAAAAAATGATACTTATTTCCGCATCATTTTTAAAAATGATTCCAATATTCGGTTCAAGCTGATACCTCACTCAAGATCAAAAATTCGAAACAATGCATTACTTTGATTCTATATAGAGTATCAATTTGTGATATTTGTAACTCTGAGAAAAGAATTTATTCTGTATATCAAAAAAGTAAGTCTCTTTTTTAATCAAAGAAAAATAAAAATTACGTTAAACATGACTTTGAATTTTAAACTTATTTTCGCTCCATGATATGAAATGGAAAATGGACATGATAAATATATAAAATAGTATGATAAACGTGTATTATTTAGAACGACATTTATATGAAAAAACTAATTTTTTATGTTTGACATATTTTGAGGGAAATTTTTTTACCCTTCACACCAAATAGTATAATTCACTACACTCATCTTAAGTGCCCAGTGGGCAAATAAAACATTTTCGTTCGACGAACGTTCCTAAAACATTAAACGACTTTAAAATGTTAATTCGGCAGACATGAAACGTTTAAGGAACGTTCCTCGAACGCAAATGTATTTTTTTTGCTCACTGGATAGTATGTATGAGTCTCATCACTGGCATAAAATAGTATGGTTTTCAAAAAACTTCATTTATAACTATTAATACATTAGGAAAATTCATGTTTTTTTAAGAATAGTAGAAATAAAGATTAGATTCATAAGTTAAGAAAGATTTTTTCCATTTCTTCTGTTGTTAATCTACGTTCTAATTGATTGCCCCATCACCTTCGAAGCACGTGCACCTACGTAAGAATGTTACGTATACAAATAGAAATATGCGCGATGTGGTGTAGTAAGTATTGTAAGAATATGTATAGAATTCACGCCCGCTCTGCGACTCTTACTCAAGGTTATACAATCCTTTCCAATCTCAGTTTATTGAAGGTCGATATGATATGGACTCAATTTAAGACCTTCTTCTTTTTGGTATGGTTTTTTAATGTTCCTTTTTTCTTTTACCTTAGCCAATTTTAATAAAACTTTATGTAAGTAGTAATAATATAATAATATACCATTTAATTATCCAAAAAATTGTACTGATTTTATTCTGTTGTAGCGTAGAAATTTATTCACTTTTTATAAAAAGGAATCTCTCCATAAAAAAGTGGTATATGTATAAAAAATTGAAATTGTAAATTCACTGTTGGTAATATTTTTAATATTATTATATATGACAAAATTTTATATTTTTGAATATAACACTAACATGGTACTGACTCAAGATGTCCGTCGGTAGCACAGTGTACGATTTTGTTATTTCTTTGTCAAAACCTAATATCACTTGCAAAAATGGACCAAATTTTTGTGTTTTACAGACTTTAGCAAAGTTTGCAATTTTTTTAATAAATTAATATGATTAAGTATATCATCCAGTAAATCTTCAGTTGCGAAGCTCATGAAACTCGAAGTAATTTTTAAAATGTCAACTGTTTTACAATGTTTCACAAGGTGTGAAAGTTTAAAATTTCTTTAACTTCCATACAATGTTCAGCTAACTTTATAGGGAAAACATTGAATAAGAACCCTGTCGAAAATGAGAGCAAAAATTGAAGGTTTAATAAATGTTTAAAACATATAATTTGTGATAGTAACAGAGTTTAGAAAACACTGTTAAAACCAGTTTCTCGTAATCAGAAATAATACTAATGAAACACTTTTTTGCCATCCATATCATGATTCGTACATTGTTTTAAGAACACAATGTTCACAGGATATCGACCATTTCCCTAAAAACATGCTTGAAACTATCTTTTAACACAAATCTTTGTTTGAATTGTGTTACTATAAACACGGATCGCACGCACTATTATAAATTACCCTAACAGCAACGGATATTCAAGGATATCCTACAGACGTCCTAGTCACATCCGGAAATTAGAATATCCCTAGGATGTCCTTAAGATATCTCAGGATATCCAGATTCGATTAGGGTAAACTCAGAAAAGTTGAAACTATGTTTCAACGCACTTTTATTCAAAGAAACTTTTATTCAAAGAAAGTGTAGTGTTCAGGTGGACTCAAAGAAAGTTATGAACAAATCTTCCGAGCACATCGCAATTGCCAACAAAAAAAAATATGTCCAGTTGTGGGACACTTATAAAAAACACAGCCTACAAGGTTTTTTTATTTTTGATATAGAAGTTGTTTCTTACGTAGTTTTGTCTGCTGAACACGATCCCGTGTCTCAAAATTGTCCATCACGTCAGGATTTTGAGAAAGGTGGGGGTAAAGAGCCCAAAAAACGTGTTTTTGAGGATTTTCAATATTTTTTTTCTCTTTAACCAGACGTGCTAGAGACTTCCACAAGGACTTAAATTAAAGCTTGAAATATGCACCTTAAGACCCATATGCGCAAGACCAAATAAAAAATTAACAATTTTGAGAAAAGTGGGGATAAAGAGCCAAAAAAACGTGTTTTTGAGGGTTTTCAATATTTTTCTTCTCTTTAACCAGACGTGCTAGAGACTTCCACAAGGTCTTAAATTAAAGCTTGAAATATGCACCTTAAGACCCACATGCGCAAGACCAAATAAAAAATTAAGAATTTTGAGAAAAGTGGGGATAAAGAGCCAAAAAAACGTGTTTTTGAGGGTTTTCAATATTTTTTTTCTCTTTAACCAGACGTGCTAGAGACTTCCACAAGGTCTTAAATTAAAGCTTGAAATATGCACCTTAAGACCCACATGCGCAAGACCAAATAAAAAATTGCGAATTTTGAGAAAAGTGGGGATAAAAAGCCAAAAAAATTTTTTTCATTCTTTTTTATATCGGAGTTATTTCTAATGTAGTTTTGTCCACTGAACACGAACCTGGGTCCTAAAAATGACCATCACGTCAGTATTTTGAGAAAAGTAGGTGTAAAGAGACCTAAAAATTTTTTTTTAGTTATTTTTGTTATCAAATACGTAAAAAAATTCATTTGGTCCCAGCAGTAAAGGTGAGACACTAGTTCGTTCTAAAAAGTAAAGGTAAGAGAAGAAATTGGTCCGGCCAATAAAGTCCAACTGGATAAGGTAAGACAAGATAAAAGTCCGACGGGCAAAGGTGAAACAAGGCATTAGTCCGACTGGTTTAGGTAAGACAAGATAAAAGTCCAACTGGCAAAGGTGAGACAAGATGCAGTGTTAAATTTAAGCTTGAATTTAAAGTTAATTTGAAGTTCTTAGAGAAAAAAAATTTATACCAACACCAAAAGAAATTTTATTAGTGCTTTACCCTCCCTTTTCTCAAAATTCTGACGTGGCGGGGATGGGCAATTTTGGGACCCCGGATCGTGTTCAGAGGACAAAACTATACTAGAAATAACTCCGAAATGAAAAAAAATGAAAAAATTTTTTGGGGTCTGTACCCCCACTTTTTCAAAACCTCCCAGGTAGAAATTTGTCAAGTATTACTTGTTTTCTTCCAGTAGCTGTAGAGTCGAAAGCGAGTTTTACTTGCCAAGACAATCTGGCCAGTCCTGAATAAGTGTCTGGCCAGTTTCACTGGATAAAAACAATTCGCCTTTGTGAACAGTACTTTTGTCAAGTCACTGACCAGAAAATCTGATCATAATCGTGATAAGAATTTTTTTCCAGACACTGGCCAGTCACTGATTTGAAGATTATTTAAGATTCCACCTAGAAAAACTGGTCCACCACTGATCAGAAAAACTTGCAGAATCCTATTAAAAGAATTATTCTAGATAGTTATGATAAGTTACTATCTAGTCACCATGGCTGCGTGGTAACGCACATGCGTTGTATCTCTAGGGTCTAGGGTTCGATCACCCATGCGTGCGAATTTTTCATTCCTAGATTTAAGTGTTATTGGTAGAGTAATTGTTCATTAGTCTTAAATATTTGAATAAACACAAAAATATACCTAAATAAAATATGTAATTATAAACAAAATAAAAAGAGCCAGGAAAAATTATATTTTATTCTAGATTTTGAGCAGAAAACTGTCCAGTTACTGGTCAGTTACTTGCCAGTCACTGGCCAGATAATCTAACCAGTGACTGCTAAAGCAGCGCGTTACATTTCTAATAAATCACTTGCCAGATTTTCTGGTCAATAACTGGCCAGAATCTAGGAAAACTTCACAGTGACTGGCCATTACAGAGTTGAAATTTCTACCTGGGCTTTGGTTCTTTTGGTCTTGTGCATATAAATCTTAAAGTGTACATTTCAAGCTTATCTTGTGGAACTCTCCAGCACGTCAGGTTAAAGAGAAAAAAATATTGAAAGCCCTCAAAAACACATTTTTTGGGCTATTTATCCCCACTTTTCTCAAAATTCTTAATTTTTTATTTGGTCTTGCACATATGGGTCTTAAAGTGCGCA